GAACGACCATTTCACGGGGGTCGCCAAACAAGGCTGTCCGCCATTTTTTCCCCTTTTCCTTAGCTGTGCTACTCCCTTTTATTCTATTGGCTTTTGAAAGCCAATGGAATAGACTCTCTTGAATACAGTCTAATTCTATTGGCTTTCAAAAGCCAATAGGAATTGTCCAGGCTGTCTCTGCCCTGCTGAGCCCACCAAAAGTCCCTGTCTGCAAACAGTGCTGCACCAGTAGTCCTCGACTTACGACCGGTTGAGTAGTCCTCGACTTACGACCAGTTGGGAGTTGCGGCATTAAAAAGGTTGAGAACCACTGATCTAGATGGGTGTGTGTTTGCGTGCATGCGTGCGTGTGTGTGTGTGTGTGTGTGTGTGTGTGTGTGTGAGAGAGAGAGAGAGAGAGAGAGAGAGAGAGAGAGAGCGAGAGATGGATGGATGCAGTTGTTGAAAAAAAATCAAGATGGCGGGCACAACTGCACAATCAAAATCCTGTCCTTTTGTCTATGCATCATTGAAACATTCAAACAGAGTTTGGGGGCATTTGCGTCTGTGCCCGAAACTGATCAATGATGCATCGACAAAAGGATTTTGATCATGCAATTGTGGCTGCCATCTTGATTTTTTTTTTTTTCAACCACAGCTCTCTCTGACACAAATGCACCTCACAAACGCATAAACACACCACGGATGCTTGCAGAGAAGGGTGAGAAATGGGTTGTGTTCATAAATAGCAGAGACTTGCCGGCTTTCAAAATGTGCACAGGTCTAACAAGTCATCTGCAGTTAAGATGTATTTTGTCTTTTCTCTCTCTTCCAGCCCTTTGAAATCTAGGCTGAAAATATTTTGGGAAGGGAAGTCAGTCAAGCAGTGGCTCTATTTTCGGGGGGGGGGGGAGAAAAGAAGTTAACTTATCCATTCATTCTGCCTTTGCTTATATTTAAAACTCAACGGGGAAGAAAGTATTTCTAATTTTCCTTGACTGCAAATTGCCAAGAAGAATGCTGCGTTGTCACTTCAGGAAGTAATAAAGTGATGGGTGGGAAGAAAAAGAGGAGGATTTTAAAATATTGTTGCGATGCCTTTCCATTTGTGAACCGTGTTTAATTCTGAACACTGTCCCAGCCTGCAATCCTTTATCGTCCATGGTTCAACTGTCAAACACAATGTCCCAAGTGATTAACTAGTGGACAATATCCTTTAAAACAGGAAGGAGGGCGAAACAGGCCAGATCAGACACACACACATTAATTCGGGGTTTTAACACGGGAGTGACAAACGCAGATGCGAGGCTTCTCAATTGCACAGCAGCCACCCCTGGGAAATTAGACACTAATTATACTTGGTATGAGCAACATGGTTTTTTAAAGAGCATTCATAACATTAATAGGAGTTTCCACCAATCCCCGACTCAATCTAATTGAAGCAAAAACATCTAGCACATCTTTAATTTATCAGAATGGCTGCTCAGGTGTCAAATAACATCGGGCTGTAAAATACGTGAGCTAAAACAATTCAAGCCTGCTTCCTAATGTCAAGAATGATTGAATTCAACTCGAACATGTTAATGATTTAATTTGTGTAACGTGCTTGGTAAAGCGGTAGGGAAGAATAATTCACTGACTTACGTTTTACATTTAACTATAATTTAGGGTTCAGGTGTTATGGTGATCTGTCAAGCCTGAAGAATCAGGACCACAGGTTGAATTCCAGCTTAGCCGATTTATTGCTCCTGCCCATTGACAAGAATCTAGTCAACTAAGGGTTGATGTTAAATAAAAATTAACAGAGTTGAAGAGGGATTGGACTTAGAACATTTGTGACAACATAACGATTCCAGGCTGATTCCTCTCCTGACTCTGTTCCCAGGTTCTGCCTGTCCTTCTCCAAATGCTAACAATTACAGCTTTATATGCCGTTCTTCCTATTAAATATTTCATTTATTCATTATTCAAATGTACATAGCTACTATATCACTCAAAGAGGACTCGGAGTGGCTCACAACATTTATTTATTTAGCTAGTTAGTTATAATAAGGAGGCCAATATTTCTTTGTCTTTCCAGAAGAAAAATAGAGTAATTATTGCTTACATTTTTCTCCATTTGTGCTTATGTTGACAGATACGGAAATATTGGTTCTAAAACACACAACAAGATCCGATCAATCCTCTAGTCACTGTTCCCAAAATTCCAGAAGTTGCTTCTTTGTACTTCTTCAATGCCTTCCCAGTCAGCGCATGATGTATAAGCCTGACATTTTCCATGTTCAAACCCTGATCCGCCCTCTTTCCTATTCAAACCGCATCTAGAAGAGCAAGTTAATCCAGCTCATTTGTCCATATGGTAAAATTATATTGAATATTCACGTTGAAAAGTTTCCCTACTAACTTATTAGTTTGGCATTATAGGCTTAATGAAGATATATGTCAACCCGAAAAGTCAGGATTAAATTAAAACATTTCAAGTGAGGTTTTGCCCATGAATCATCTCTCTTTTCTTCCCTCTGTTCAGAATATAAATTAACCCTTCAGAAATGATCCATTTCTCTTAAGGAAGCCTAAAACATCAGCAAATTCTACTCTAATCCAGCAATTGCAATGCACCTTTAAATTAATAAAGTCGGAATCACAGAATAATCCTCCAGATCCGATGTGCTGCCGGAGAAATTGAATTCAAACTTTGTCTCCACTTACTGTTTTTGACATTCATGTTTCTACTTGAGTGACATTTAGAGATATAGACCCTCACAATCTGGGAAAACTCTAAATAAATACAAATCTAGTTGGGGCCTTCGATTCGCTGTTAAGATTTCAATGGAGCTTGAAAATGGCTGAGTTAAAAGACACTTCCATTTTTTTTATTTGTTAAGTCTGAAGGAGCAAAAGTCTTATTTGAACAGGGCTGTGGAGGGATGTGCATTATGGGCCAGTGTCCATTGAGTCATCAGTTAAGGCATTCAAGAAGACTTGCACCCTTTCTGCTATTGGTACCATTCCAAAAGAAGATGCCAAGGAAGGCATCAACAAGCAACGTATCACATTTATATAAGGATGCCATCGCCCAGATGAGTTTAGTGGGTACAGAAAATTGATCTGTTCCATGCAAAGACTCTTGTATTCTTCTCTGGTCAATATTTCATCTTCTCAGATGAAATTAAGCAAAAATCAAGAACAGTGGAGCATAACCTCAAACTGACCGGAGGATTAATGTTGAATTTAATAACAGCAACAAGATTATTGGTGGGTCAATATTGGAAGAAGGATACTCTGCCTTCTTTAGAAGAATGGGTATTTAAGGTTTCTAATTTAGCAGAAATGGCTAAACTTTCTGCTTATTTAAAGGACCATTCACAAGAGAGATATGTTATTGTATGGAGAAGATGGATAGAATATGTTCAGAAGAAGTATGGAACTACAAAGTTTCATTTATTTTATGAGTAATGAATTTGTTTATAAATTTATGATGTTAAAGTTTGAAGAGAGTTTATTTATTTATTTATTTATGAGACTTATATACTGCTTTAAGTGCAAGCACTCTCTAAGCGGTGTACACCGGTAAGAAGCAATGTGTATATATATATATATTTACATTGCCCCCAACAATCTGGGTCCTCATTTTACCCACCCCGGAAGGATGGAAGGCTGAGTCAACCTTGAGCCGGTGAGATTTGAACCGCTGACCTGCTGTACTGAGAAGTGGCCTGCAGTACTGCACCCTAACTGCTGCGCCACCTCGACTTAAAGGTTAAAGAGTTAAAGGTTAGTATGATTTTGTTCATTGTATAATTAGTAAACTTAAATAGATTATGTTTAATATGTTTGTATAATCCTGTACTTTGCTCTGGGAAGTCGGGGGGGGGAGGGGGGTGGGGGGTGGATGGGTTGAAGTTTAAGTAGTTCAGATAAAGTAGAAATAGTTTTACCGTATATAATATTAATGTTTTAATTTGGAGAGAGGAATTGCTCGGGCATTTCCCCTGGACCACATCCGGAGTGAGAAGAAGAAGGCAAGAAGTAAGTAGGAAGGTTGAGGAGCAGTAGGAGACGGAGTGAGTGAGGAAGAAGAGGGAAAGAAGTAAGTTCGTTAGAGAGTGGATGCGGTTTGGGGGGAAATAGGTGGGCAATACTGAAAGTGGTGTGTATCAATTTGTTTTATTTTTTATCTGAAGTATTTTTAAGTTTGTAATGTATTGTAAAATTGAAAATAAAAATTAAAAAAAAAAAACTGACCGGAGGGAAATTCAAATGTCATGTCAACAGAATAGCAGAATAACACAGCTGGAAGGGACCTTGGAGATCTTCTAGTCCAACCCCCTGCTTTCGCAGAAGACCCTATACCATTTCAGACAATTGGCCATCCAGTCCCTTCTTAAAAGCCTCCTTGATGGAGCACCTACAACTTCTGAAGGCAAGCTGTTCCAACTGCTTTATCGTTCTAACTCTCAGGAAATTCCTCCTTAGTTCTAGGTTGCTTCTCTCTTTGGTTAGTTTCTAACCCTTGCTTCTTGTCTTGCCTTCTGGTGCTTTGGAAAATAGGTTGAGCCACCCAGTCTTCTTGGTGGCAACCTCTCAAATATTGGAAGACTGCTATCATGTCACCCCTGGTCCTTCTTCTCACTAGACTGGATATACCCAATTCCTGCAACCATTTTCATATGTTTTAGCCTCCAGTCCCTCTTTGTTGCTCTTCTCTGCACTCTTTCCAGAGCCTCAACGTCTTTCTTATATCATGAACTTGGATTTAGTTTTCCAAGTGTGGTCTTACTAAGGTTTTGTAAAGCTTGCCTGGCCCAGGAATTCTGGGAGTTGAAGTCCACAAGTCATAACAGGACCAAGTTTGAAGAGCCCTGTATTAGATGGTGTAATATTGGATTTAGTTTGAAGAAGCTTACATGTACCACGGAATTATTAATGGACCCAGTCAACACTTGTTTGTAAAAATAGAAAATTAATAAAATATTTATATATATAAAAAAAGAAGATGATATTAATCTCTCCATACTTACAGCCATCGTAGATATCGGTTGGTATATGGACAGCAGCATGTTGATATGATGTTTGTCGACCAAACAAAGGGTCTTCTTCAAACAGAGGTTTGATTCTTTGGCTCCCTGTTTCGTTCTCGCTTCTTCCAGACTTTTCCAAACGGGGAGGAAAAAAGGAAGCAAAACGTTAAAATCGAATACATTGTGTGTAAAGGTAACTTAGATTCGCAATTTGGGAACAGGCCAGATCCAAAGACAGAAAGTAGGAATAGAATAGAATAGAATAGAATAGAATAGAATAGAATAGAATAGAATAGAATAGAATAGAATAGAGCAGAGCAGAGCAGAGCAGAGCAGAGCAGAGCAGAGCAGAGCAGAGCAGAGCAGAGAGGAACAGAACAGAATAGAGCAGAGCAGAATAGGGTAGAGTAGAGTAGAGTAGAGTAGAGTAGAGTAGAGTAGAGTAGAGTAGAGTAGAATAGAATAGAATAGAATAGAATAGAATAGAATAGAATAGAATGCAGAATGGAATGGAATAGAATGTAGAATAAAATAGAAGAATAGAATGGAATGGAATGGAATGGAGTAGAGTAGAGTAGAGTAGAGTAGAGTAGAGTAGAGTAGAGTAGAGTAAAGTAGAGTAGAGCAGAACAGAATAGAGCAAAACAGGGTAGAATAGGGTAGAATAGGGTAGAGTAGAGTAGAGTAGAGTAGGGTAGGGTAGGGTAGGGTAGAGTAGAGTAGAGTAGAGTAGAGTAGGGTAGGGTAGGGTAGGGTAGAGTAGAGTAGAGTAGAGTAGAGTAGAGTGGAATGGAATGGAATGGAATGGAATGGAATGGAATAGAATAGAATAGAATAGAATAGAATAGAATAGAATAGAATAGAATAGAATAGAATAGAATAGAATAGAATAGAATAGAATAGAATGCAGAATGGAATAGAATGTAGAATAGAATAGAAGAATAAAATGGAATGGAATGGAATGGAGTAGAGTAGAGTAGAGCAGAGCAGAATAGGATAGAGTAGAGTAGAGTAGAGTAGAGTAGAGTAGAGTAGAGTAGAGTAGAGTAGAGTAGAGTAGAGTAGAATAGAATAGAATAGAAAAGAACAAACAGAATAGAATAGAACAAAACAGAACAGAACAGAATAGAATAGAATAGAATAGAGCTAGAAGGGACCTTGGAGGTCTTAAGCAGGAGAATCTATACTATCTCAAATTATTATAGGTAATCTTGATTTACGATCACAATTCACTCCCAAATTTCCACTGTAAACCAGACAGCTGTCAAGTGAGTTTTGCCTCATTTTACGACCTTTCTTGCCATAGTTGTTAAGTGAATCACTGCAGTCATTAAGTTAGTAACACAGTTGTTAAGTAAATCCGGCTCCCCCATTGATTTTGCTTGTCAGAAGTTTGCAAAAGGGGATCACGTGACCCTGAGACTCTGCAACCGTCATAAATATGAGTCGGTTGCCAAGTGTTTGAATTCTGACTATGTGACTTAGGGGGCGCTCAATGGAGTAAGTGTGAAAAAGGTCATAAGTCCCATTTTTCAGTGCTATTGTAACTCTGAATGGGCACTAAACGAACTTTTGTAAGTCAAGGACAATCTGTACTGTGATCCTATATTCAAACATAGAGGTACCTTTAGAAAAAAAAAAGTGGAAAAATCTTTTTAAAGCAGACATGTCAAACACAAGGCCCGGGGGCCGGATGGGGCCCACGAAGTGGTTTCATGTGGCCTGCAAAGCCACCCTGGAAACAGTGAGGGAACGGCCCCCATTGCCTTGGCCCTGGCCCAGACCGGCCGGGAGCCAATGTACAATTTTGTGGTGGCCATCTAGGCTGAAACGCATTCAGTCTTAGCTCCACAGCGAGGAACCATCCCCTACCACATCGGCCCTGCCCCCTGGGTGCATGCTGGGGAGGTGTCACCCATTGTGAGGAACGAAGAAATGCACCATCGCCTGGAAGTGGCCAGCAAATGGCCCTTGCGTACTTCACATATCCGGCTTGATGGGCTCCGGGGGAGGGGTTTTGGCAGGTAGCGGGGTGTTCTCACACGCTCACCCAATAGGCCACACCCATTCCATCCACGCCCACCCAGTAGGCCACACCCACCCAGCCCCCCAAGAGCAACCGCAATGCTGATGCGGCCCTCAGTGAAATTGAGTTTGACACCCCTGTTTTAAAGCATTCATAAACTTGCATCCTGGATGATATCTTAAAATCAGTCTAGTGCAGTGGTTCTCAACCTGCGGGTCGGGACCCCATTTGGGGTCGAATGACCATTTCACAGGGGTCGCCAAACAACGCAGTCCGCCATTTTTTTCCCCCTTTTCCTTAGCTGTGCTACTCCCTTTTATTCTATTGGCTTTGGAAAGCCAATTGAATAGACTCTCTTGAATAGTCTATTGGCTTTCCAAAGCCAATAGGAATTGTCCAGGCTGTCTCTGCCCTGCTGAGCCCGCCAAAAGTCCCATTCTGCAAACGGTGCTGCACCAGTTGAGTAGTCCTCGACTTACGATCGGTTGAGTAGTCCTCGACTTACAACCAGTTGGGGGGTCGTGGCATTGAAAAGGTTGAGAACCACTGGTCTAAATCATCCATTATATTCTTCTATGCCCTCATCTGCTTTTCTATTGTTTTAAGACAACCAATTTGCCTGACAAAAGAAGCTAGCCTGTTCTGAAGCCACATAATCCAATCTGGCCTGAAAACAATTAAAACTCAACTCCAACCAATTTTTCTCCTTTATCAGGAGCTGAAACGCGATCAATAATGTCATAGGAAAATCCCACAGGAGTCCAAAGCCTGAAGATTAATTTTCCATCTATTAAAACCTGGCTTTCGTTTGTCGAATGCTTTCCTGATCTGTCCAATGAAACTCACCAAAATCTCGCTCACGTGACTCTGAAATAAAACGTGATGAATTGGTCCCAAAGTGAGGCGCAGAGAGCGGTAGGCAACCTTGGCTCTTTTATGACTTGTGGACTTCAACTCCCAGAATTCCTGAGCCAGCCATGTTGAGAGAAAAGGAAGAGGTTTCCAAGCTGAGCCGTGCTGGCTCGGGAATTCTGGGAGTTGAAGTCCACGAGTCGTAAAAGAGCCAAGGTTGCCTACCCCTGCCCTGGTTGATTTCTCCTTTGGAGTTAGAGAAATACAGAAAAGACCAATTCTGTGAAAAACTCTGGCATAACTCAAGTTGTTAGAACTAAGCTGGACACCAGAATTGTATTACTTATTTAATTAACGTATTGTTGTTGTTAGTTGCGAAGTTGTGTCCGACCGATCACGACTCCATGGACAACGTTCCTCCAGGCCTTCCTGTCCTCTACCATCTTCTGGAGTCCATTGAAGCTCACGCCTCCTGCTTCAGTGACTCCATCCAGCCACCTCATTCTCTGTCATCCCCTTCTTCTCTTGCCCTCCATCTTTCCCAGCATTAGGCTCTTCTCCAGTGAGTCCTTCCTTCTCATTAGGTAGTCAAAATATTTGAATCTCAACTTCAGGATCTGGCCTTCTAAAGAGCAGTCGGGGTTGATCTCCTCTAGGACTGACCGGTTTGATCGCCTTGCAGTCCAGGGGACTCGCAGGAGTCTTCTCCAGCACCAGAGTTCAAAGGCCTCCATTCTTTGGCGCTCAGCCTTTCTTATGGTCCAACTTTCACAGCCATACATTGCAACTGGGAAGACCATGGCCTTGACTATACGCACTTTTGTTGGCAGGGTGATGTCTCTGCTTTTTAGTATGCTGTCTAGATTTGCCATAACTTATACCCTGCCTTTATTATTTGTATAAATGATTCTAGATGGTGAACATATCTAATACTCCTTCCTGCTCTTATTTTCCCAAAAACAACAGTCCTGTGATGTAGGCTGGGATAAGAGACAGGGATTGGCCCAAGGTCATCCACCCAGCTTTCAAGCTTAAGGCAAGACTAGACATCTCCTGGAACTAGTACAACATTTTGCTGAATAATAACAATAAATCAAGACTAATGTATTGGCTAGAGATCCAACTGATGTCTGGTCTGCAAGTTTATTTAACACAAATAGGCACTTAGATACAGCAGCCACCTGGCAAACACTTCTCCTCTAAAGCAAAGAGAAAGAAGAAAACAGTCAGAGGTCTCAAAAGAAAGATTATTTATTAAGCACACTGTAGCCACAAAAACCAGGTCTCTAGATGGTTTATAATAAGAATTCGTTCTGTTGCAAGAAGCGTATTGCTGGGGTGACGTGCAATACCTTACGTGGCCAAAAAAAAAAAAAAATCTCCCATTAATTATAGCAGACAGGATAGTAAAGAGACATAAAATCTAAATTAACTCATGGTGTAGAACACAAAGCAGACATAAACTAATTAGACCCCTCAGAAAATTCAGTATTTACTGCAAATGTCATATTGAAAGATTCTGTGATTATAGACAGCCTCAATTAAAGGAGTTTTAGCCTTCTTGTAGAGTTGTTTTCATCGTCTGGTTGATCTAGTTAGGCTGACATTTTTACACGAATCAGGGTAGTGCAGTGGTTAAAATATTGGACTAGGGAGATGTAAATTCAAATCCATCCTTAGTCACAAAAGCTACCTGCATAATTTTGGACCGTTCTTCTGTCTGTCAAGTGTGTTATTGTGTGAAAAGGCAAGAGCTGGGCCACCCTGTGCACTGAAAGGAAAAGCGGGGTATAAATCAAATGAACAAATAAATGTGAGTTTGGGTCAAGTATTCAGTCCTCAACTTTGAGGAAAGCCTTCTCAGTGAAACATGATAGTGGAACATTCTTTAAATGAGCAAGCCCTTTTATTAAGCTAAATATTGCAACCTTATTATTAATACCCTCGTATTATTGCTGACAGCAATGCTGGCCTGTGGTATTCATAGCCTCGCCTTCATGTCTTCGCATAAAAATCTGAGTGAGCAGAACTTTCTAATTTTATCCAGTGTCACTGATTGGTTTGGTCATCTATTAAAGTATACCTTCTGGAAATATAGAGTTGTGGGCAATAAAAAGTGAGTTATGGCTAAGGACATTTTCTGCAACTCTTCTCTTTCTTGGCGGTCTGACTTGATTATGATTCTCCAGGAAGTTAGTTTGGCGTTCCAGCAGAAAAGTTCTAATGACAAGCTGGTTGAAGGGAGAAAAAGT